CCCCCCCCACAACACAACTTTAGGGTGCAGCAAGGCTTACACTCGCTTCTGGATATTGTTCAGGAAATGTCCAGGTACTATAATACGTAACAACTCCAATTTGCATAGCTTGACCCCAAAACACGATTTCTAGGTGCCCAACCAGCCCTTGACGTCCATCTCCGAAAGGACAAAGCCAAGTGGAAAATTCGTGTAAAGTGTCTTTCCCAAGGACACAACGTCAGACCGAGCTGAGGCTCGAACCCCTGAACTCGCAACCTCACGATTACGGGTCCGTTAGCCTAACCACTAGGCTACCGACGCCACTATATGTGAGGCAGCGTGGTGGAATCAGACTCTCGTCACTTTTTGGGCAGGTAGAGTTATTGGTATCATCTTAAAGCTTGTTCACTTGTCCTTATTTGAATGAAAATAGTATCCATTTATCTTGAATACAAGTTGAGATATTTACAAAAGAAGGAGGTGGGGGTCGCCTGTTTTTAGATTTAAAATTAGTGAGAAAATGGCCGCTAAAGGTTAGTTATTTCCTTAGCTTAAGAGTCCGTGGTAACTGAAAATTTACATTTTTTGTGTCTTTTATTCAACGTTTTTCAGAAAAATCAACACAGAAATGAGTTCTTTAATGGGCTTGAAAGGTGTTCGGGCAAAAAACAACAAATTGATAAAAATTCACAAACCTGTGGAAAAATGCAAGTTTCTTCACTTTAACTATTTTGACGAGAGCCTGATTCCACCACACTGCCTCACATATGTATAATATGCCAAAAGAAAATGTATAATTCTGATTTGTGTGTGTGCGTGGTTGGTGGGTGCTCTGGTGTGGTTTGTTCCTTCTTTCCTATCAAACATCTATATATCGTCCTGATCTCTCCTCCTTCTGTTTTATGTTTGTTACTCTCTTGTAACACCTCTATGCTTCGGCACTTACATGACCTTATTGTGTTGTAGGTGCCGTTAGACTATTACTATAACCTTTTTTTTTCAAAGGGTGAGTATGAAGGTTGGAAAAATGAAACCAGTAATGTGCGTGTTCTGTTGCTGGTGGGACGGATATTGTGAATGTGTGTTGTGGTGGGGTGGACATTGTAAGTGTGTGGGCTATGCGTGCGTGTGTGTGTGTGTG